TAGAGAGAATAGTGCAACAATGAATGAGTGGAGGCCCAAAATCTCTGTAAATGTTTATGAAAATTAATAAAATATAATTATAGAAAAAAAATATAGGTTGAAGCTCAACACCAAGAAAACAAAGATTCATACCACTGGGCCAATTGATAGTATCATGATAGATGGAGAAGAGATTGAGGTTGTTAACAATTATAGCTTGCTTGGTTCCACAATCAACTGCACTAGCACTCAGGAAATCAAAAGATGTATCACATTGGGATAATGTGCTATCAGGTATCTCTCCAGAGTACTAAAAAGCAACGATGTTCATCTAGAGACTAAAATGCACATGATGCAGGCCATAGTCTTTGCAATTACTTGCTATGTGTCAGAGAGCTGGACAATGACTAAGGATGACAGGATTAGAATCAATGCCTTTGAGTTTTGGTGCTTGACAAGAGTCTTGAACATACCATGGACCACCAAGAAAACAAATAAGTCTCTCTTGGGGAGGGTGAAACCAAGTTTCTCCTTGGAGGCTAGGATTTTGAAGCTCAATCTCACATACTTTGGGCATGTGGCCAGGAGGGACATGCTTAGAAGGATGGGGGGACAGCACAGGAGAGGAAGACCCTGAATGAAATTAATTGATATAGTAATTAAGGCAATGGAAGTATGTGTGTGAGTAGGTGAGATTGATTTAGGACAGGGAAGGCTTTAAAGCTGTGTACATAGGATCACTATGAGTTACAGGTGACTTGACAGCACACAACAGCAACAAAACTCTCAAATCTTTGGCCACTCTCCCATTTAAATATTTGAGGTTCAGTGTAATATACTGTATTCCTATTCCTTTATTACTCTCAGAGGTGTATATTATTAGTAGGGGGATTTATCTTGCAAATATTACTATGGCTATTTGTCAAGTTCAGAGGTGGGAAAAAAACCCAAACAAACAAAAGAAGACGATACTGTCCTTCAATGGCTTACTTACTGACTACACAGATAGAAATTTCAACAGCGGGGGGTGGGGGGAAGGCAGTATTAAATGTCACATGTCAACT